AAATGCGTACAGTATTTGAAATTCAAAAATATCTATTCTCAGAGCTTCCCAGGGGCTTCTATCTATTCGCAGGGCTTCCCAAACTAGGGGCCGCGAAACGAATTTTGGGGGGCCGCAAAGAGAACACCAATTTTACACAAAGTACTACACTATTGCACTTTTTTAGAATCTTGATTCGAAATACAATTATTAAAACAAGTGTAAAAAAAATCTCACGATTCCGAGTGAATACATCATCTTACCGTGTTTCCCCGAAAATAAGACAGCGTCTCCATTTTTTCTTCGAAAAATAACACCGGGGCTTATTTTGGGGTGATGTCTTTTATTTTTATTTTTTGTAACAAATTTACAAATTAGGGAATTACGTGATTTTTATATATACGAAATAGGAAAACCGATTTCTATTTACTATAAATAACACGTTTTTATTTAAAATAACTGCTAAACAGATTATTAACCATTAAAAATGAGTAGAAAAGATTTCTTGCTATCGACTGGGTCAAAAAAAAATTTGCGCTATCGAGTAAGTTTTATTTTAAGTGGAGGTCGCATTCTCTTATTTTCGGGGAAACACGGTAGAATCCTCGCGCTTGCATAACAATGTCTATACTGATCGTAAACCCGATTTGATTGCACAACGATGCCGGCTTTAATCGTTATGCCAGCGCTTTGCTAAATTCGCTTCGAAAATTAAGAGATTTGTGTTAAATGACTGAATATTTTAGATATTTTATTTATTCTAAAGGTTTTATTGTTTCTCATCATTGTAAATGATGTATAATATGAATTAATAATTTCATTTCACTACTCTATCTTGTTCACTTTCTGATACGTAGGGTCTATTGTTACGTAACAGTAGAGGTAAACCCCACTTGCTGCATGCAACATGTGTGATTTTTATAGCTTCTTAATGAAGAACATGGCAGAGATAAGGAAGAGAAGTTAATCTTTTGCCTGTATTCCTTAGGTTTACTACTTTTTTTTATAAACTTTAAAAGGCATAAAGTACACATTAACGATGATAAAATTGTTTTTTTTAGTTAAAGGCAGCATTTTTTTGTGTAGGTGCGCCGTGAGTTTTTTCCCTGATAATTTGGCGCGCACGAACCGCTGCTTTATGCTAAATTGGATCCTTGAAAGTGAGTAACAAAGCCTGATAAGGACCATGCCGCCGGTGGCCAAACGTAATTCATTATCATTGAGACCTTCAATCGACAAACATTAAGCCACTGCTGGACTTGCTGCAAAACTTTCGCACTCATCACACTGAATAATTAAGTGGTGTTTTGATCGGAGTAAAAGTAAATTAATTTTTTTTCATCGAGTAGGCCTACTAAAAGTTGAGAATTGACTGTGTCAATAAAATATTTCGAACTGTTTATCATTATTAACGTGAACAGGGGCCGCGAGCTCAGAAGTTTGGGAAGCCCTGCTCTAAGACTTATTTTATATGTACGCAAAACTGTATCGTGCTAGAGCAGGGGTATCAAACTCGCGGCCCGCGGGCCAATTGCGGCCCGCAGGACGATAGTTTGCGGTCCCCGCCTCGGTATGAAAGTTTAATGTTAGTGCGGCCCGTAAAAGTCACTCAGCTCAGTTAGATTGATTGATGCATTTAATATATGATCAGGACAAGAAGAGCAAAACAAAATATTTTATAATCTATCCCCCGAAAGGAATATGCGGTACGATAACTTACTAGTACCGTATCTGTAGGCATGATATTCGATGGACCTTTGACCCCGAGAAAAATTGTCTTATACATTACTATTGCAAATTCTTGGTGCTTATTTTAGAGGTGGCTTCGCGAGTTGAAGCCTATAAACTGGGGTATATGTTTCACGTCATCATTTTGATTCAAAACATTCAATAACCTGTTTTTCAACAGTACCGGTAGAGAAGTTTAGCCTAGTCTATCACAGCTATTTCTAAACTAACTTTTGATTACAGCAATTAAGCTACGACGCCCAAGCAATCAGAATGATCATTGAGTTCTTTAATTCATACTTGAATTTCTGAAACACAACCCAAAACTAACAAATAGCATGCAAAAACGAAGTAATGTTTACAAACATGTCTGAAAATCTTTCTGAGTGACAAGTGTCTTAGCGTTGCAAAAAAAGTCTATTGTTACGTCACTTTTTGTGTCTTGCTGATTAGCCCATGTTACGGAATAAACAAGGAAGTAGATGCTCGGAGAAAGGTCCATCGCGGAATTACTTACATTTATGTTTTTGACATGTTTTGTGTATAGAAAAACAGTGAAAAATATTTAACCTAATAAGTTTAATGCTTTTATTATGAAAAACCGGATGCGGCCCGGACTCACTGAGACTCCGTCTCGGCGGCCCCCAGGTAAATTGAGATTGAGACCCCTATGCTAGAGTCCACTTCCAGAGAATATTGATTGTTGGGCTAATAGTACAATTTTAATTTTTCGGACAACATATTTCGAAATCAACAGTAGACCTGAATGAAAATTTCAACAAAAGCTGGCTCATGATAATTTATGTTAAAATTTCATTTGGTGGAGGAACTAGGAAAACGTATTTTTGGTAAATCGTCGCTGCGGATATGAGCGGATATGTGGTATAACGGCATACTTAGACAAAATTAAGTTATAGAAAAATTTGAACATTTTTGAAATTTGGAGGTATGGCTCATATTTACGATAATAATACCATGCTTCTAATGTGGTGCTACTAGGGATTTGTTTAAGAAGAGACAATTGTTTTGAATCAAGTTTTTTTTCACCTGTTTTGTTAGAAATGGCCGTATTATTTGATTTTTTTGTATTAGATATTCTAAAACTAAAACAAGAAAAATGGATGTAAAAACTTGTCAGTCGCTTCTTATTCGCAATAAACCATTCGGAACGCCTCAAATATCGACGACTTGCCCATACACGCCTTCACAAGCTGTACCGCTATGCATCCACAAACGTGGTTGGCGGAGGAAAACGCAACAGACAAGCCATTATGAACCGCCTCGCGACGGCAAGGAGTCCAACAATCTCCTTGCACATTGTCACATCTTTCATGGGATTCGAACCAGAGCCGGATATACCATTAGGCAAGGCAGGCAAAAGCCTAGGGGCCTCGCACCTCGGAGGCCTTGACAATCAATTTTGAACTATTATTCATTTTAAATCGTTCTTGAATTGTAAAGGCTTGTTCCGGAATATTGCCAGTTTAAAACATTATAGACCTCACATTTTTTTATTCAGGTTAATAATTCTTGTTCTAAATATTTTCCGTTTAAAAGATTGTAAAAATTAAAATACGTCTGAATAAATGAATTTGTATAACTTTGAAAAACTTTACTTCTTTAACCTTAAAACAAAGTATGGTAATTCAAATAAACTGAAAAGTTTTTACAGTAATGAAGCCTTTATTTTATGAAAAAATATCGATGTATAGCTATATATATATACTAATTTACCTAAGCAACAAAGAATGTAAGCATTATTTTATATAATTTTTACTATGCCAGATCTCACTAAAATCGAGTATTATGATGTCGGGTTTGCTGGTGCCATGACATTTTGTATATATTTTGCTTGTAGCTGAAATTTTGTAATTCACGCAATTGAAAAATGTATTTGTGATGTCATATTACATAAACTACAAAAACCAACAACCTATTTTATGACGTCATAACAGATTAGTTTGTGACGACATTGTTACAGAGGGGCCTCACAATTAGCATAGCCTAGGATTGGGTGTCTCATCGTCTAAATCCTGTTTTTTAGGAATTGATAAAAAACAAAACCCTACGCATAGGCGTGAGCCTGTAGCGTACAATAAGTCAATACTGGCGTCTGACTTCATTAAAGGGAAGAAAACACTCACCTGTTTATGAAGTATCTGACAACAGCAGATCTGGACTTGATTGAGTGCAGGATAAATCGGACCCAGCAAATTGACTCGACCTGTCATATCATACCCGCTCACGGCGTTAAGTATTAGATAAACTACACCTAACCATGGCATGGAAGCAATTTATTTTACATCTCCGACTATATTGCGGAAACTGGCCGTAATCCAATCACAATGTTTACGCATTTGCTTGGGTGCATCAAAAAGTACTCCTATTTTAGCTTTACAATCCCAGTGTAACGAAATGCCTTTACATATTATACATTATAGAAAATGTCTACATTACAAATGCAGAATGATCCCTCATGACAGCGAAATTACAGCACAATTATTTAAACAGTCGTGGGAAGAATATTTTTTCTGACAAACCATCATTTGCAACATTTAATATGAAAACAACCAACAGCTTTTTTACCGACTTCTCTGTTGCGAAAGATGTCAATTTCGAGATTCCTCCCTGGATGATGAAGCCACCGCAAATTGATACATCGTTAACGATTTATGGTACAACATGTTCACCAACAATACTTCAAACGTCATTTCTTGACCATATACACGGAAACTATCGAGACTATGTACAAGTATTCACTGACGGTTCGAAAAACCCATTTGGCGTGGGTGCTGCATATTATGTGCCTCAAGCGAAAGTAGAGAAAAAATGAAATTACATCGTTTTGTCTCTTCACATACATCGGAGCTATACGCAATTCTGGGTTGTCTCAGATGGATCGCAACAACAAGACCGGAACGTGTATTGATAATAACAGATTGTCTCAATGCCCTTTCAGCTCTTCTTAATTATTCAGCATTCGAAAACAAATTAATTGTGAAAATAGCTACAATAAACTCGGTTTAACAAAACAAGGAATACAAATTACATTCCTATGGTCACTAGCTCACGTAGGAATTATCGGAAACGAAATAGTGGATAACCTGGCAAAAGGAGCAATCAACAAACTTTCCCTTGATGCAATTCTGCCACTTTCCGTCTCAGAAGCGAAATCATATTTTGATACATTGACTCGAGAAAAATGGAATACGGAATATGTTAATAGTGAATCAGCAAGCCATTATAAAAGATTTCATCCTACCACGATGTCACGACTAAAAAACGAAACTTTGTCACGTAAATATCAAGTTCTTTTATTCCGACTGCAAAGTGGTCATTGTGCCCTGAATGCACATCTACATAAAATTGGCTGTCATTCTGACGGATTTTGTGAACAGTGTTTCGTACCCGAGACCGTAGCCCACTACCTATTGCATTGTCAACGATATAATCATCAAAGGAGCCCAGTCATTAGCAAAGCCAGAAAACTTAAACTGCAAATGACTTTGGAAGAAGTGCTTAGTAACATGGACATTATTGAAACTGTTATCGAATTTGTTTTATCTACGGGCAGAAATGTTTAGAAATAATTACTTATTGCAATTGATTCAATTGTATAGTTATATATTAGTAAATATTGTATTATATGTTAGTATAGTATTTTTAAATTTGAATTGATCAATGGCGCAAAAGACCACTGAAGCTATAAGCGCCATAAAACATATAACAACAACAACACCTAACCAAGGATGTCGTGATACATCGAACGGTTTAAACATATGTATAATGTTTTATTCAGTTGAATAATTTAAAGAAGCTCTCTAATGTGTTTAGTGTGGGATGAAATGTAAAAATTTAGTGGCGTACAATTATATACAGCACAATGTATAATGAAAAACTTTGGATTTGGAGATATTTCTGACATCCCACGCTTTGCATTTCAGCTTCGAACACGGCCCCTACTGATGTGTATGTAAAATAGCTACTATTTTTGAAATGGCGAAATTTGAGCATGAGCATTGAACATAATTCAATTCAATCGAAAAATAAGAAGCAGACTACGAACAGTTCGAGCAAAACAAAATCAATTTTCTGTTCATCAAAGTCTTTATCACAATAGAACAACATCGTTTGGAGGTAGACTGAGACCGTATGTTGCTTATATGATTATGGAAGTTGTGCTTTGTCTCAAGTTGCTTTGCAGTGGTATAACGAGGATGGATTTGGTGCTTTTCACATTGTCGCCAACTATTCGAGTTGGAATACTTTCCATACTGCGTTCAAGATGGACTTGGATCTGTCATCTTCTTTGCGTGATTTGCTTCGTTTACGTATTCTGGTGACGTTACTTCTGCAAAATATGTGTAAGGTACGTGTTGATATATACTCAAATATAGGACGTGAATTTACCACAGAGTCTGATAGGGGTATGACACACTTCCTAGTAGTTTGGCCAACTATAGGCGTATTTCTGGCCATCGCTAATCCAATTCCACCATATCACTACGGGTGTAATAAATTGTCTTTTGAAAATGAAAAGATATCGATCATTTGAACTCTGCTTTTATGCATTCATCAGCTGTGTCTGCCTGTTAACAGCCTTTAGCGCAACGTTTCCCAAGCGGGGAGGATCTCGCCCCAGAGAGGAATTTTGTCGTTTTCGTGGAGCAACGTTGTATTATATTTGCTGTAGTAAAACCAATATTATAATAATTTCAATTGTTACTATAGTATATAATATTTATTCAAGAACACAGAATAAACTACTCAAACTGTACAAAAAATGGGAGTTCGACTTGCGCATAGCACTAGGAATAAATTAGCCAACATCTTTGATTTATGAAAAGCTCATAAAGACAGAAGCCAGAATAACTATTACACACATAAACAGTATTGTAATCATCTGTTACCGATGCTTTCAGTTGACTGATTTTCATAAAGTGGATTCATGATTTCATAAACGATGCCGGCAGAATAACGTTGTTGCTGTTGTTGTTTAGCGATTACTGTTTCCGTACTTGTGTAAGTGTCACACGATGTTGCGCTATACGTCCGTTCACTCATGGAATCAAAAGACTCTGTTTCTGTCATTGAACTATTTCCACAAGATAACCCCGAGTCACGCTCTGTTGAATATGCTGTAAGACGACTTCTCGCATTTGCAAATTCGATGTAGGGCTGAATGGAGACAATTACAAAAAATTATAATGTTTCTTGAGGGAATTATTGCCTAGAATATATATTCATTGGTCACGAAGTGAACCTTTGGATCGTTTTGTTAAAATTGTTCTCGCTGTTGTTAGTATTCATCTTCTTGTTGAAAAAATCGCCGTTTCTTTAACTCCTGGACCAATAGCTTTGAAATTTGAAATGGTTTGAAATTCAGTGGTTCAAGATTGTTGTTGTCGCTAGAAAGATATTTTATTTCAAAAATTTCTGTGGGCTTCATGGGAGTCATTCTTCACTTTGCAGTTTTTTGTGATGACGTCATCAAAATTGAAAATTAAGAGTTTGGAAGTCGGAAGTTTTTCGACTTTTGACAAAGTAGATTACTGGTAATGTAAGATATTCGATACTACTTCGTTTTGGCCCAACCCCCTGCCTTCGAACCTTGCTCTCTTATTTTCTAGGGTAACCAGCGGCACGATTTCGAGTGATTTTCCGATAGAAATGATGTTAACGAAGTTAATGAAGTTACTCGCCTATTTTTTCATAACAAAAATTTCAACCCTAACTGGTATGCATTCAGAAAATTTGCAATTGAACATAAGATCTGGATCGCGTTGCTTACTTGGTTAGAAACAGCAACCAAAATGCGTTTCATCATTTGGGAGAGAATCGTAAAATCTGGCCTCTCTTTTGGGTCCCATGACCAGCACATGAGCATGATTTCGTATCTGGAAATATATAAATACTGAGTTTTCCAATTGAGAATTTACTGACATATTTTGTTGGTAATTCTACACTCCGTTTGCTAGAAAGAAAACATCTCTGCCGGAATGTAAAATTCAACACAACTTTGGGTGAAATCAGGTATTATATATGTGATTAATAATTAATAATAATTATGCTTCTGGTACGCGTTTACTTATTTATAAAATTGAATGGGGAAATTTATTTTTGGCTTGGCGACAAGTTTGTTCTTTGATGGATTTGTAGGCATAAATATATTGCATATATATATATAAAGCAGAGATCTAGAAAATACCTTATATGCTTCAGAATTTTAGATACATATCAACACATCCAAATAGACATTAAATCAGTGGTTCCCAGCCTTTTATGGCTCCCCGGAGCTCCCTCCCGGAGGCTTTTAGCACTCACGGAAAACTAGGAAGAACGGGAAGTTTTCTTGTAAGGAGTAACGTAAAATCAGTTGTGCATTGTGACCCTCAACAACTGCTCTGTGGCCTCTTGAAGCGCCACGGGACCCCGGTTGGGAACCGCTGCATTAAATAAATAGATTCATTTTAGAGAATGTGTTCTAAGTCAATGTTTCTTACAATTCAAACGAGGCCAGGTTCGGCCGCTTCAATCTATTTCCTGTAGTAAGATATTCATATAATTTACACGCAGGAACAGTTGCGTATGGCTGATTCCCAAGAGTCAATATCTCCCACAAAAGAACTCCATAAGACCACCTGTAAAAACGAAAAATAGCAAGCATAAAGCAATGAATTTGTTATCGTGGTATTTATTTATTATTATTTTATTTGATTATAGTGTTTTCACCTCATGGCATATGTTTGTGCTATTTAACTTTATCCCTATATATTTAGGCAATTCTACTTCACAGCGTATTTGGTACAGTATATTGATCTAAAAAAACTTACACGTCAGATTTAACCGTAAATCTGCTGGTCCACAGCGACTCAGGAGCAGTCCATTTTGCTGGAGTAATCTGAAAGGGAATGAACCGACATGAAAAATTAGTCTAGATTGCCACATAATTTTTGACGATGTAGAAGATATTATGACAGTCGTTTTACACAGTCACACACCGTCTCACGTTTCATCAATGTCAAAGTCTAAAATGGCATCAGAACCCAAAAATTGTATTGATCATCATAGGTAATGTAATTTTAAAATTGACGCTGGACTTATTTTACTTTCAGTAGGAAGCAACGAACTGTTGCTGTGTTAGTGTGACAGTGTAAGTAATGGAATGGGAGTCATCTTGCAGTTAAAAGTTTACACGTTTCACATACACCGTGGTTATTAACTCTGTAATACTGCTTTTCATCTGTCATAAATTTCGATAATCCAAAATCAGCTATCTTAACCACCAAGTCTTCTGTAAGTAGAACGTTGCGAGCCGCCAAGTCCCGATGTAAGATCTGCAATTAAAATCAATTAAAAATTAAGCTATTGCGACTGCCGTGCCAAAATAGTTTTTGGTGCATTTGGTATCATCAATAGCACGGCCTACGCATGGCTAACTTTCTAATCAGTCAAACTGACTCACGACAAAATGAAAAACACGTGAAGAAAACAATGTATGTCATTGGAAACATAGTTTAAACCTGGGAGTCGATTTTCGCATTTATTTGGAAATGAAGCACTAAATGAACTTTTTTTGTTCATACCTTCATTCTATGACATCATGACTGGCAAAATAAAACCATACCCGGCCTGGACTGTTAACCGTACGTGAGACCGAGGTAGTCCATTATATTAAGCCGTCTCAGTGACTTTCCACACCAACGAAATATATTATAAAATCCATTTCTTTCATATGTTTGGGTAGAAGTGGCACACCAAACAAGATTGACTTCCTTCAAATGGGTTGAGTTTTATCAGTTTTTGGTCTACTACAAGCGTAAAAATATCCGGTCCGCTGTCGGATCGGTCTGAAAATTTGAGCCCGCTTATAATTCTCTTTGAAAACGATGTTTTCACGATCTTGAAAACACAATAATCAATTCCTATATGTTTTAGAATTCTAACCAACCTGAACGAAAGGACGCGGACTACAAGAAGGATTATTGGATTAAATTTCATAATGCTGACATTAACGTACATTTTTATTTGAGAGATGCTCCATTCCTTTGGATATCTGGTGGCCAAATGACAGAAGAGTTTCCATGTCTATCTGGAAATCATCTTTCTCGAATTCCAATCGAGAAATTTGAGACGGTGTGAAGCTAAATCTGTATAACACAACATATAAAACAAATAAATAAGTATGCATCTAAGGGAAATTCTACCTGAAAAAAATTGAGTGCTTTCATAAATCGAAGTTTCATTTAAGGGGGTAATTATCTATCACAAACCTGTTGTCGTGTAAAAATTTTCTTAGGTTCCCTCCAGTGGCAAGCTCCATGACTAGTATGGGTGGTCTTTGAACTTTCAAGCTTCTGTCGGATGTCTTGAAATATAGAATTAACGTATTCAGTTTAAATAGCATGTGTAATCGTTTCATACTAGACCAAGTGTTTGTCATTGGTTATTTCTGTGACATTCATTGTGTTCAAAAACAATTGCTTGAATGTTTACTTCTTTATGTCAATACATAAGCATTAGTAAATTTTAAATTCAGAGTGTATTTTCATTTATGCAGTTGTTTCGTTACAGCCTCCAGTAAACCTTTTTGACCACGATGATTTAGACAGCGTTTACATGATACTTACCGCATAACTCAGGTTGATATCAAAGAAAGACCGTGTTTCAAATAAATCTATTGATTATAATTAGATCACGAATGGCCATTAAAATATCAATTTCTCAATTAGATTCTTTCAGACATAAATGTGATCAATCATAATAGACTGTGATATAAGCTTTTCAATTTTATAAATAATGGTTGGTGTAAATTGTCAGTTTTAATAGATCTCCTAACTTACCAATGGAAAACAGCCATATATACCAATATTATTAAACTGGTCTCAAACTGAGCAATATTATTTAGCGCTGATATGATATTAAAAACTCATGTTACACATAAATTTCTTCCCACTATATTTTACACACCGCATTATATCAAAAGAACAGAAGCGATAGTTGTGCGGTTGTAAGTGATCTTGATGACACCTCACTTCTGGCAACAATCTCATAAAAAGCTTATTTAGCGCAATATAGCAACTACATTATTCTTTTCGCGTCAATGATGTAACCTGGTCAACTTCGTATCATTTCGACCACGCCACTGATTTCAATCACTCAGAAATCACCGATCAGATTTATTAACAGGCCTGGGCAAGTTGCGGCCCGCGGGCCACATCCGGCCGCGGCAACTCTCATCCGGCCCGCGATCAGATATCTAGATTCAGACAATTTATTTTTTATTTTCATATAAAATATACTTTAACTGTAAACAAAAAAAAAGAATATTGAAAAAGTCGGTGACAATGTTCGACTAAATTTTGTTAAAATCGTCGATGGTTTTCGTCAGCATGGGGTGTTCTTTTGGTTCTAAACACCTTTACGTCTAATCACAAATCTCTCAACACATATATGTCTTGTGAACCATGGAAAAAACGAGTTATTATGTATTCATCAGCGACGAGATGCTAAGGGTAAATGAATGAGTGAAGCTGCCAGCGATATAAAATACAAAAAATAAACAGGAGCAATATAGATTTTTATTTAGGAAGCTTGCGACAGATTAAAACGCTTTTGTAGAAATTAGAAACTGAAAAACTCACGTGCCCTCGAAACCATACTATGGCTGAAATTGAAACAGTCGATAGTGCGCGCGATGTACCTTTTGATCATTCTAAAACTACCGACGGGGCCTTACATATAAGATAATTAAATTAAATTAAATCGATTTTTGTGGTAACAATATGGATTTTACTTGACGTGGTTTTATCACAGACCTAATGATTTTTCTAGCGGTAAAATCTTTAAAACAGAGCGAAGTCGGTTTCGTAAGAACAGATCAGATTTGTCGAATTTGCGAAATCGCAAAACACGAATAAAAATAATCTGCAGGCTTGTCCATGGGACATATTTCTCTGTCCCATTCCCATCCCGCTGAATGTTTTTTGCTCTTTATAGCTAAGAAGAAAGATATGCTCTACTAATATATATTGATAAAAAATCCACAACGAAGTGTTTTACCATCATTTCCCCGAAAATCATACGGTTTTCGTGTCCCACGGGAAATACAAATTTGTGATGTCCCATCCCATGGGAATCCCATTTCCATGGACAAGCCTGATAATCTGGTACTCCACCTCACATTTTTATGTCCGCGGATTGCGGTGGCATTTCAGAGAAGTAACGCTCATAATTTGTCAAAGCAACCGCGGGTTAAGTTGAGAACAATTAAGCAGGACGTTTTACATAGGCTGTATAGCAAAAATAGGTATCAAAACTAAGTATAATACGCTAATCAATCTCACAATTTTATATACGCAGATAGCCGTGGTATTTTCTAAATTTTCGAGCTCGCAACGCCTTCCAATGCGAAACATTTTTCCGCGACCCCTGTTCACGTTAGGCGTGGTCCTAATTTCGCATTGTTACTCTTTCTTCGGCATTGATAATGGTCAAATTCGGCCGGCGTTCTGCAGGCGTGCCGTTTCTCTGATCCGGTTTATTCTCTCGAAACTAGTTTTGATAATTGTGCTTTGAATAAAATTCTTAAAAATCAGGCTATACTGGATATAGTTATGTGTTGTTTTATTTAAATACGTACATAATACAATAAAAACGCGCAATGTATGTTGATTTAGTTAGTCCGGCCCGCTACTGCATTTTGTATATTCGATGTTGCCCGATAGCAAAAATAATTGCCCAGCTGTGGATCAGAATTACTTCACCACAACCCTAAAGACCCAGTGCTTCAATCTGCAGGTTTTTTGTTCGAATGTAATTAGGGATTTGGTATTCGGAAGAGGAAATGCAAACATTTCTTTTTATTTGTTAAAGTCGTTGCTCATTACATAAAGAAATGTGTCCTTTCTCAGATATCGAGTATTATTTTGAACTATCAATATATTTTTGCTGGAGTGGATCTTAATCCCTAATTAATAAATCCATTTAGTACATACCTTGCCTTCCAGTGTGTCCAGTACTATTGTTCCAACCAACGAAATTACGTTGACATGTCTTCCCGCTTTCATCAAAGTAACGACTTCCCTCAGAAAATTTCCAAGTTCTTCTGTTCTGTAACCCTCTATAGTACATAAGATAACGTTAGTAAGGTTGAAATTCAATAAACCAGTATTGTTGTAATTTCTAACAGAAGCTGCGTCCAATGCATTTCATCGATTTAACATTTATAGCTCCTACCATCCTTTGAGAAGTTTACGCTGCTTCATTCCGTGTATACAGACAATTTTATATGAAATATATTTCGTTCTGATGAGGGGAAGAATATGGAAATCACGCATAATTTGTAGTATATATATATATATATATATATATATATATATATATCGCCACGCTAATAACCGAATTGCGTAAGTCATTTTTGGCGATTTTGAGTTTTTTATAAAATAGGTATTTATGTAATGCTGCGCACCTGTCTGTTAACTCAGATTTTATTTTAAGAATTCCGAAACCCATAAAAATGGAGATTTAGTATGACATGCACATCCGTGCAATTGTTTCGTCATAATGAATTATCATGGTTACCGCAGGACTATTGTGACATCACAAGGCAAAATAAACTCCGCGAAGTATTTTCGAATTTTTGCATCTCGGATTCTAGCTTGGCGCGTATTAATTTGAATTTATACTACAGTATAGGAAGACGTGCACTTGTGATATTCACTGTCCGAGTCCAATTCACCTTATTTGGCTTTTATATTGGGTGCATTGCTGTTTTATTCTTATATTTTATCTTAGTATTATTTCGGTGGGTGTGCACTGTGCAGAACGTGTTTTATTGATGAAATATATATTTTTGAACACAAAAAATGATGTAATTGAAACTGATTAGCTATTTTGGGGATTAGACATTGTAGATACTGAGAATTACATTCGTTTTTGAAATGTTTAGTTTTTGGAACTGGTGCATATAGTAAAGTTGCAAAATTGCGTATGTCCCTAAGTCATAGACACATTTCTGCCTAAGTCACAGTGCGCCATTATGACGTCACTTAACTGCGTCATACAAATTAACTTGAATCCGGCTACGATCAAAAAGTTGAACCATGGCAAATTATTCACTCTCAATGGCATAACAATATCATTAGAAAGTTTTTTACGTTTTTCTCAAAACTGCTAAAAATGACTTACGCAATTCGGTTATTAGCGTGACGATATTTAGTTTTAAAGTTGGGTTATCGCGGAAAAATTTTTGTGACGAATTTGATACTATATAATTTTTTAGGATTTTTTGAGTTTCAAATATTTAATTACCGTTTAAACGCTTTACCGCAACATGAGTCACTGATCCTCTGGAATCTGTTACTGTTCCCGCATATACTTGACCAAAGTTTCCGGTTCCAAGTACAATCGGCATTGAGTGTTCCAGATTGCAATGAAGTCTTAAAGAAAAAGGAAGGTTACACAACAAAACTAGGGCGACGCAACGACAGACTTTATTCAAGTAGTAGATGATTTAGTATCGCACTACAATATTTTCTATATTTTTCTGAATTGATATCGAAACTACACGACCGTTATCATCTTGACAGTTTGAAATCATCGTCGTCAAAACGATCTGGTTCCCATCACCTCCAATGCGAGCTGGTTCATCACTGGTCTCGTTGAATAGTTTTGGTGGCTGTGGCGGCTCCTTGCATCATTCCTTTTTTAGATCCAAGCCCACTCTGGGTATTGTTGGATATTGATACATGTGGTCTACTCTAGAGCGGTCACTGAATTTTAAAAGCCGCTTATGACTTGGCTATATGAGTTTGGCAGGTGCTGATTTGTTGGTGCAGTTAAGTACGACAGTCTCACTGGAACTCATTGACCCCTATGATTGTTGTGAACATCCGATTTTCTGACCTTTCGCTTGGAATCTAGATGTCAATTTATTGACTTGAATCCGCTAGTTGTGAGCTATTTTTTGTTTTTTCTACACGGCCACAATCGCCCAGCATCCGGGTATGATACATGGACCCTCTGCATCGTTGTATTTGTTGAACTTCCAGCGTTGTACTATTTTGCAGGTCCAATTACTCCAGGGATTCCTACCGAACAATTCGACCGTTCCTACCAGTCGGATAGAGCAACTGACACTTTCCAATCTTTCGGCTCACGTCAATCGAACGCGTGTATAGGCTATATTTCTCAACAGCAGATAACTTGAGAAACTGCTCTCTGTAACAGTGGCTGGCCCGATTTTTATTATATAGAATCGTCTTCAAATTCATCTGTCTAGCCTCATTTTTTTTTTCAACTTTGTCCGATTTTTTGGTTGTATTTACATTCTTCTACTTGACACTTGACACTTTTCAATCTTTCGGCTCACGTCAATCGAACGTGTGTATAGGCTGTATTTCTCAACAGCAGATAACTTGAGAAACTGCTCTCTGTAACAGTGGCTAGCCGGATTTTTATTATATAGAATCGTCTTCAAATTCTTCTGTCTAGCCCCTTTTTTTTTCAACTTTGTCCGATTTGTTGGTTGTATTTACATTCTTCTACTTTTAACACAACACCATGGCAAACTTTTCAGTTTTTCAGAATTTTTATAACAAAACTTCACGCAATTCTCGGCACATTCATCACCATTTTTAAATTAGGCTAGAGACATTTGAACCCATTAATAAGATAGGACCCTTGAACCTAACTAAGCTAAAACCAATGCATAAATATTATGGTACGTAATGTAGCTTAGGGGTAGACTACTGAAACGCACACATATCGCGAAAGCGCAACAACTGTATTTTACAAAACGGTCCACGCGCCCACTTTGTTCCAACATCAGGTTAACCTTTTTTTAGTTTACTCACATGAAAACGTGAGCTTATTGGAATGTGTATTTAAATTTGATACCTTTCCCTGGAAATCTCCATCTTGAAAATTTCCTCGACGTCACTCTCAGTCAGAAACGGAAAAACAGAAGAATATTTTGTACAAAACAATTCCTGAAAAATTCATTAAAATATTCATGATGGCCATTAAATAACCAGGGTTACTATTATTCGGTGATTACTGCAGTTGTGCTGTTTAATTTGACTGCCCTTCAGAATATTGTCACGCTACCGACAATAACAGGCAAATTTTCGAAGTATGCTATGGATAAAACTATTGTCGCATGTAATATTCGAATAAATAATGAATTAGGCATAAAAAGTCGAATAGTTAGGAATAACAAATTAATGAATTATCGATCCAAATGTGAGGCCAATGCATTTCTTTGGATGTGGCCGTCGCAGTGGATTGCCAGTAGAGAAGTCACTACTTTTTATACCTACCAATATAGTTGAATTAATTTGAATGAAAAAAGTCTTCTACATATGTAAATTGGATACAGTGTGTATACAAAAAATGGAAGCCAACGATACTGTTCCGTATATAGTCTAAATGTTTTCAAAGCAAATTATACAAATTTTTTCGATGCATTTTAGATGAGTTTTTGTTCTCAAAACTAAAATATAGAAGAAGACATTATCATAGAACAGCATTTTTTTACAGTATAACATTTTCGTAACTCCCCAATGCATCCTCAGAATATATAATAGATTGTAACTTAGTATAAAAGCAGCAAAAATAGTTACCAAATCTTTTTCAGTTAGTACTTCATGCTCTTTCGACTCCGTTGAGTTTGTATAGTAAACAGCTAGTTCTGCTTCTTCGTCGCTTTTGTTTTTTCTTGAAAATCCTAGCAATTTCTTGCAGATGTATCGTAAACAAGTTGTTTGTGAATTTTTCGAATCTGAATACAGATTTTCTTTTTTTATGTCAGAGCGTGTTAAAAAACAATTAGTGTAAAAAATTTCGAAAGTTTTTGTTGATGGAAAGTTTTATGCGCCTGTATTCTAAATAAAGTTTAAATTGCAGTTTGATCATCAACATTGAAGTAAATGTTGTTTTTGTCATTAATTGAAATAATTGAAACTTTGATTGAAATCCAAAATGAATTCAGAATTGATGTTTTGGAAATATTTGACGTTACCACCAATCGGTATCAAATAAAAGTGGACTATTACTATGGTTTATTTTTATTTTATTTTTATACCGTTTACTCGTTTTTAACATATCTTAAAGCGCTACATTCTATACAGACTCTGCAAAATTGGCCAGAGAAAAGTTGGATGCCACCAGAATGTAAACCCGAGACGCTATTTAAATTATAATTAAAGTAAAATTTACAATAGCAACAGAATGAACACCCCAGATATATTAGATACACAAAAACTCTTACTTATTTTCACTTACCTGGAATACTTAAGTAGACACAACAGTATATTGAAATGGTTATAACTATCAGAAAAGATGACACAACTGCGATATAGACGATCCAAACAGGCATTGCTCGCGAACCTAAAATATAGGAAACCAAATTTTAATAGTACAGAACCGCGGTCGCGACATGTTTGAAATCACGTGCAATGCACTCCACTTGGAAAAATTAACGTTCTTCCCAAATCTGGTAGCTCACTATGTGTATATTTTTATTAGCTTAGTGATCTGCAAAGGACGTGTGTGTTGAAAGGTCTCTGGAAATCAAACTAATAAACTCGGTAAAAGAAAAAAATACGTTTTTTTGTTGAATAGCTATAGTATCGCAAGAAAATCGATTGTTCGGGTAGTATTATTACGTTTGTCTGATTTTTCAAAGAGACTATTCACTACAAATGAATAATAAATATATTACAAATAGACCCACCCTGAAGATGTTCTAAATGAGATGAATTTGTAGTCAAGTCGATATCACCCGTCGGTCGATAACTTTCTAAAAATTGAATTTTATTTATTTTACACTAACGTTTTATGTAAAGATGTATACAACGTTCAGTTTATGGAAATGAAATAAGTTGCGATTAAGAAATACTAAGAATTGTAATCCAACACTCTGTTGGGGATTGGATCTCGAACAAACTATAGAACACGGGAGAAACTCGAATTATAATTTCAGTTCCTTTTTTTTCTAAGAAGTCTCACTTACGGATATTAGATAATGAACATAGTTTTTTCATTTTTTTCAGTTTTTCTTTGATTATTTAACTTATCTCCATGTTATGAATTTTTTTTATGTTTGCCTATTCATCAGTTCTCTTTTTCACACGGTCTTCTCGGACGTATAATGAAGTAATGAAATAGTAATTATATAACGAATTGGATGTTCATTGTATTTTTAACTGGCAATTCATTTTGATCTTTCCAAATAACATTATGTAACTTTAATCCATACTTATTCGTAACGTCATATCTTCTTCAAATACAATTTGATCATTTGGATATCCTCCTTTGAGCCATAATTTACAATGATATTTTCCAACGTCCGTGATAGTAACGTTTTCTATGAACATCCTAGTCCCCAAAATGAAAGGCCTCTTGTTACATCCCATTATCTTTATCTGTTAAAAATGACTCAAATGTAAATTTTAATATGCTACTTATCGCTCGGAATATTTCAGAAAAATCTTAATATAGAGCTTTCAAACACCAATACATTTTAGTTTGATTTGTCTAATACTCTATAGTTCCCCGTTTCAATAGAGGTGCAAATGAGTCTTGTCACATCGCTTGCTAACACTGAGAAATTAAAGCTTGTGTATGCTGAATAGATGGTTCATAGTTTACATAACTTTATTGCAGTGTCACGCAAACAACACGTTTTCCAAGAAATTCATTCAATGCATTGAAATTTCACTGTAATTCATTAACGATAATATAATAACGACAATTTAAAGTTATTGAATTGCTAAGATATAACCTGGTTGATGAAAATGGCCGCTAGTGTTCAATTATTGGGAATAATATTACTTTATTAAATGACGAAATAGAATGATATAAATACATTCATTCATATCACACTTGTATTACATATTATACATGTAATCCTAACACATTTTCGTTCTCTGTGGCCAACTAAACAAAAACATCAAAAACTGTTAGAAGAGTCGATTGACCGGAAATAACGCCCTATGCTTCATATATAGGATTGCACGCTACAGGTCGTCAACAATCTGCATGGCAGAGATGTCAGTCCGCGAGGAGTCCGCGATGTTTGCGGATTAATTGCTTTGAAATATTTTGGTACGCTTAGATGCAATTTCTGTTATTCTCAAAGTAAATGGCTTAACATCATCTGTAAAGTCCAATGTAATGTTGGCAACAGAAGCATACAAACGAAAAGAGAAATGGGCCTCAAAATCTTGCTTTGATTCAATTTTCATAAAAATATGGTTCTTACTCGTTCATTTGGCAATATTTCTTCTGTTCCATGAAACCAATGCAGTTCAACGTCGGGTGATTTAGCTGGATCATCGTCCCTGAATCCAATATGATTGCAAGTAAATGCTGCAGTTTCTCCTTTTTCAACTAAGATCTCCATTAGCCACCCAGTTCTAATAAATGATCCTGTATACCAAAAATCATAGAACCAAAGTAGAAATATATTTTATCATTCAGTGAGTTTATAGTAAACACTTTATACTAGCTATTTGATTTTTTGAGAGGCCTGTTCGAAAAGTTGTCCGAATTGAGAGCTTCCCCCGTAGAACAAAACTATTTAATTACAAATGTAAGCGATTAGGTTCATGACTGAAAATCGCAGAAGCTTTGAATTTTGCGGCGTTCACGAAAAAGCCTTTCGCACCCTTTCACTTTCGAATTGAATATTTGTCAAAATGATGAAACATTAGACTGAATAATCCTGGTAATAAATAAGGATACCATACCATTAAATCCATTTGGGCTCATGGCCTTCTTGTTTGCCAGTGTCTTGCATTCCTTCATATCGCGTATTCCGAACACAGCAGTATTTAAAATGAGGAATAACAGAACATTCGATGCATACATGCCTTGCAACTTTTGGTTCATTATGATTTACAACGAGTTTATAAAATCTAGGTATTTAACGCAAAGAAGAATATATTTAAATGAAACAACTGTCAATTCACGATGTGGCCGGAAAATATTCGCATTTTTTAAGTTATGCGTGTCATCACTAACCTGTCTTTAGCTCGTTTGCGCGATATATATTGGAAGAATTCTTCAGAGCGTATTATTGTCTTTGACAAGTCCTAAATTTGTTTTGACAACATGATAAACAAACAATATGAAGTATTTTGGCATGGTATAAGCTAGGCCAAGTATAGAGTGCGGTATCCCCGTAGAAATATCTATAATTGCTTCTGTTTCTATGAGACATGCTATGCTTTTACCAGGAAATTCTGCGACAGTACTGGCGTCATATTTCCGAACTTTCCGTTTTAAAGAAATATGACCGCAAGACAGCATTAGCGTTCGCTTTCATTGAAAATCTTTACTCCTGGGACCTGCTTATGCACTTTCACTACAGCTAAATAATATTTTCGTTTTATTGTATAATTATGAGTTACATGTAAAACTCTACCTGTCGCGGCACAGCAGCAAGTTTTTCTGTATCGATATGACCACTTACTGACATTTTATTCATCGGAACACAGATTAAATAAATTATTGCCATGTTGCATATTAAAAGAAACTCTAGGTAAGAATATGAAATTGTTATTTCCCTTTTAAAAAAGAGAGCGGTTTGCAGTAAATTTTGATAAATTCAAATAAATCTTGAATTCAAAACTAATAACTAAAAATCCTTACAAATATTCCATACGAAGTTGACTAACAGTAGCTCACAAACCGGTACTTCTATATGTATAAACGATTAATGAAATGTAGCATTTTATGTATCATTGTTTGTATAATTTAGGGCACACGTCCGTCCGTTCAATCATGTTTCCTGACATGACAAATAAAACTTACACAAATTTTTGTTTACTGAGTGGGTAGACAACCGAACTTTCACAGAGACATTAAAGTATCATAGGAGATATACTGTATTTTGCATGTAAACAAAACGCACGGAAGGTGTATACTTCACATTAATGAGTATTTGCAAGGTAAATTTGCCTCACTCTGTGACTCCGGGAATAATCAAATTATAGGTAAGTTTGATCATATTTTTATTATTATGGTTTTCTGTACAAAAATTTCGGCCTTTTCTAAGGTCCACAATTATAACAAGTATAAATAATTACCTAAGGTTTCAATTTATTTTACCTAATTGCGACACCGTTATTGATGTTTTTCAGTAAACTTTTGTAAATGATGTAGTCTTAATCACCAAAGTAAACAAACATCTGACAAGTCCAGTAAGTCATGTTTAGATTTAATGTTTGCGTAAATTTGAAATATATATTTATCGCTATAGCTTTTCCATATATAATTGTGTTCTGTTTCAGTTTTCCTGAAAATCTTTTACATTTCTTCGTTTCTTGCTGTGATGCACGCATAGCAGGACCATGCAGAAGTGCTCCAATTATTTTCGTGTACTTAAACCTCTCTTGCGCCGAATACAATTTAATTGAAGTATTAGTGGATTCGACTTTTTTCATTCCCTCAATCTCAATATATACCTTATATATATATATATATAATTCAATATAATATATACCGCTCAACTTACCCAATTTGTTACACCTTGGGTCGAATTGTGAGTATGACATCACTTCTGGACTAAATGTAGCTAGGAAACAAAATATATATTAACAAATGTAAAAATATATTTACTCATTCATAGCTTGAATCGAACTTGGACCAAATATTTTTGGGAAACAAAAGAAACACTCTGGTTAGTGTCCCATGTATGCAGTAAAATATTAAAATGGATAAACGGGTTTACAAATAAAATCACTAGCACTTTCAAAATTAAATTATTAAATATTAAGATGGATGTTGAACCCGTATTCATTGTATTTTGTACAATTTTGCGCGAGTTTCACTTCTATGTCAATAGAAATATAGAGAGAGAGAGACCATTTCCATATAAAATTATACACGCTCGTTTTGATTTTCGCTGTCTAGGAATACAAATTGATTCATAGTATAGGGATTACAGCAACTACATGCGTAATTAAACACGATAGGTGCGTTGAGAGGACATATTATGTCAATGACAGTTATGTCAAGTCCTATATGCCTCTAGAAAGTGTTATTGATGAATCTGATCAATTGTAGTAGGAGAATATGTTATGTTGATGGGATATAAAATCTAGACGTCACTCCTTATCATAGTCCAAACATAATTGTAGGAAGTTGACTCAAACAAATGTTATTTTCTCCGAAGATTCGAACAAACTAAATTTATGGGTTGTAATTCATGACAACAAGATAAGAAGAGAAAATTAATCAAAAGTTGTTCACAGTATCGATTATTTGTTTAAAGATTATAAATTGCGCATTTGTCGGAATTTGCGTGTATGTTTCTCCAATTGAAAATATAGTTGCTGTACATGTAAAGTTCATGTAATAAAAGAATTGGCAACGTTCAAATTTGGTTAAGCTGAGTTTTGTGAATTCTTTTTTTTATTATTTGCCTAGCGTCGAAATGTCTCATTTCAAACAAAATTATATAACAAAATGATGTGGAAAGTCAGAATATTGGAAAAAGCTTATATTCAAACTTTATGCGATTCGAATATTGGCAATTTGGTAAACATATGTTAAGATAATCAAATTATTTTGAACTTTTCCGGTTTCGGGGTCATTTTTATCCACGAATTTTTATGTTTCAAACAAATTCCAATTTATTTTTCAAATTTTAGTTCACTTGGGTTAGCCTTATTAGCCGAATCAGTCAGTGATGTTTGTGAACGATGCTTTAATGATATCCAGTTTATATATAATGAAGAGTCAATGGATACAAACGTTCATGAGTATGTCAGCGAGTGTAATGCAAAAGAATATAACAGTGATATATATTATCTATAATCTCCAAGAATTGGGAGGCGCAGTTCTTACCACTTCATGGCAGCTTCTGCCACGAACGAACCGCGGCAGCTCTTGCCATGGTTTTAAAGCGCTATTCAGTATTCAGTAATCACTAATCAGTATTAAAGGTATATTCACAAATTAATGTACCAGATTTTAATTGATCATGTGGAATTATATCTACTTAAACCTTAACCCTAACCCCAAATCCATAAAAACTGTATCCATAAGAAAACGTTCCAACTTACCCAATATTTGTCACCATAAGGGACAGCCCTGTCTTTACGGCCCACTTGCCGCGGTTACGGCAGCAAAATTTTACCTGCCATTGGTTTTCAATTTGCTGCCGCGGTAACGGCAGCTCGACATTGGTTTGTGGCAGCTAAAAAGTCAGTCGCCATAGGTTTGGCCGTAGCGGCCATGGTATGGAAATACCGCCAAGGTTTTGCGGCAGCTGCAGACGCCACAGAATACTTAAAACTGCACTTGAGAAATGGAGTGACGTTGTGTAAACTGATGTAATTGGCCTCACCTGATCACAGCTATTCGAGGTTCAGTGGAAGAAGCATGTCAAGTATGCTTTCAGTTATATATACTTCAATGATTGGAACAAATAATTTTTCGTTAAGTTTCTGCCCCGAGCTTATATATTCAGGTCCAAGCCTTGTTCTATCTGAGTAGATCCAGCATATGAAATAATTCTGGATTCATCTCTTTTTTCATGAAGCCAAATTTTATGACCATTTATTCATTTAAAATGCTGCAAGCGAATCATTACTGGATCGTACCCACATTATATTGTGTAGATTAGACATAACAACAGATCATGGAACAATAACAACAGACAAACTAAACAAGTGTAACAGATCTGAATGACTCCGTGACACTGGCACATGTAACTTCAACTCTACAAAATAGGAAACCGATGTAGAATCCCATTCACTGAGTCTCAGAAACGCGTATCTCTATGCTATTCAAAATTTAAATCCGACTTAAATCCAAATCTCACTTGTGAATTCCCTAGCAACACTAAGAGTGTAAAATTTACCAGGGAATACTACTAGACTAGATAAACTTCACACAACATATATACCACAAACATATGGCCATCCCACCATCGATAGAAATCCAAAAGCCAATCCGACAAAAACATCAAAAGTGTAGATTCTGACGACTATAATTTTTTTTTTTACTGTAATTTAGCATCCTATGACCGAATATACAGGGTGTAAAAACGGAACAAATAACCAATTTTCTTAATTAATACTTATACGAAAATAAAAAAGATTAATTAATTTTGTTTGCAGTTAAACTTCTGTTTGTGTAAAATGATACCCAAAAGTTTCAGAAATCTTTTTAATTACGAACTTGTTTTTTCCTGAAGCGCACTTTCTGCTGTCAAGATATGTCAACAGCAACAGTAATGCTTGCTGGGGCACAGCATCTACCAATTAAGTTTTACAGAGACTGTTACACTCAGTGAAGGGTACGGCATGGGTAATAATGTCAAAACATGATATTGAGATGAAAATTAAAGAGCTCGAACGGTGAATATGGAACGTTGCGTGATCGCGCCGAGAAAGAGTTTGCATGGACTTTAACATAACTTTTCAGGCTAAAATGGTCGCTGCAAATTAGAGGTCCTCTGTAGTTCCATGGGGAGAAACAGAATAGGTTATTTAAACAAATTATATTCATATTTTTCCTTTTTTCACGCTTATAAGGAATACGTATAACATCACTGTGAATTTTGCTGTGACCACCAACTATAGGCATTGGTGTATGATATTTTACAGTACAGGTATAATATGTGTATGCTGATTTAAATATACTATATTATATAGTCCATATACCGACGATGTAACAAAAAGACTGATCACAGAATTGAAAAAAATCCACAAAATATAAATACTAGCTAATTTCAGTCAAAAGAAATAGCCTAGTATGCGTTATTTCACTTGAAAATTTTAACCTAGCGCAGTGTTTGTCAAATGCAACAACTCGCAAAATTTTTAAAATAAAAACAAGGAGCGCTATAAACGCTTTTGATCTAATGCAAAATTACGACGATGAGTTATCAGTACTACGTCATCAACGGACCATACTAATTTGCGTTCGATTTCGGCAGGGTATACTTTAACAATTCCAATCCCACAAACGAAGTCTACTTAATGTGAACGGTAAACGCTAAAAATCTTAAA